CCACTCCCATCACGGAATCTCCCTGATGCTTTCATCGTGGAATTTCCCGCACCTACCCCCGGCAAAAAAAAAATTTAAAAATGGGTACGAAAAAATGTTAATTCATCACGCCTTGAATTTCCACGTGAATGGCATTTGCACCATGGTTTCTGCAGCTTTCTCGAGGTGATTGTGCGCTGGAGAAATCCTTCAAATTTGGAAAGAGACTTGTATTTTCGTGTCATGTAGTTTTTAGCGATGCATTCGCATTATACGCGGGCCTATCAAGAAGTTCCAGGACCGGCGACTCATTCACGCGAGAATTAGGAGGATCATTAGGACGATCATCAGGAGGATCATTAGGACAGGAATCCATTGAAGATGAAGAATGCAGTGGATGGCCAGTGGATGACCAGTGGATGGCCATCGACAAACCGGAAGAGGAAACCATGCAGGTCCTTTCTGTGACCGCCGGCAGTCGATCAGCACCGCGGCAGTACCGTGGCAGTACCGCGGCAGTACCGCGGAAATTCTGCCCGATCGTGACAGCGTTCTCGCATCCTCCGTCCTCACAGGACCTCACAGGACCTCGCTCCTTGCGACTTCACGCCGTACCCCAAAATGAAGTTCCTTCCGAAGGGCCGTTGCTCTGGCGACACAGACGCAGTCGACTGCGACCGAAGGGTGGTCGCCGAGAATGGGTTGCAAATTTTCTCTTTGCAAACTCGGGAGAAGTGGATCGCGAGTCAATGGAACTATTTAAACCGCATCGTTTGCTCGCATGGAGGGCGGTCCCGAAACTTTTTAATGGGCCCACGTATGCCCACGGTGTCCTCAAACTTTCCTTGGAATATTTTTTCCTCCTGTTGTCCTGTGCCTGTCGTATTTATTAAAGCGCCCGTAAAATCTCCGATCGGTTCTTTTTCGTGGTCATCGAGTGAGCGGACTCTCATAAAGTCGTCATTCGGGATCGAGACGACGAGTTAGATGGGTCTCCTCGTATCGGTGAGCTGGGCCGATTTTTCGTCGGCCTCCGAGCTACTTCGTCGCTTTCGTGAAAAATTGAGCGAGGGTCGAGTGGATTCCTGGCGATTAGACGCAACGGCAGCGCGGCCCGGTCGCGTTTTGCCTCATTTCCGAATTAATTCTTACTCGCTTCTAATTTTTACTCGACTCGAGCGAACCACCAAACGTGAAAAATGAGGTGAGTCGCCAATTGCAACCTCAAGTCGCCAATTGCAACCTCAAGTCGCCAATTGCAACCTCAAGTCGCCAATTGCAACCTCAAGTCGCCAATTGCAACCTCAAGTCGCCTTTAAGGGAACGAAGGAGAAAAAGTTCCTGAAACTGGCTAATTCCTTTCGAAGTGTTCGTATCCCATTTTTCTTATTTCTCATTTCTCAAGGCAACATCATTGGCTCAGCCTGCCTCGGACGCCAAAAAGCACTACAAAGTATTCTGTTGAGGAGGATTGTCGAACACTATTTTCGAAGCTATGGATGAGGCCAAATACAGTTTGAAATTACGTACATAAATAAAATTATCCTTAAATATATTGTGGTTTCGGTTACTTTTTTTTTTTTGGCCCACCCTGTAAATGCATCCACTCAGTCGCGCCTGTTTTTGCTCCCAGCGGTGGGACCTGACCGCTCCAAGCAATCCGTTCGTGCGTCTCCTTCCGTTTTCGTTAAATCTTGCTCCTTGAAATGTTGCTCCTTGAAATTGTTGGCATCTTCTTGGGAATGGAGAGCAGATGGATAGGAGTGCAGACTCGACCCGCCTTTTCTTTGAATTCGTATCGAAAATTAATTTGTAAGAAATTCCGCGAATCTCAGCACTTCCTTTCCGGCCTTCGTCGGCGACGGGCCCGTCGTCGCACATCCGGCAACCCTGCGTGTCGTTTTCCGACCTCACGTCCGGCGATTGGGCCTGCCCGGCTGCTTTCGAGACGGGATTTCCATGCGTAATTAATTTCCGTCGCTCTCGTTAGAGATGAGGCGCTGCATTCTGAGTCCTGGAATCTTCGGCGCGTGAATCTTCGGCTGGAATCTTCACCGGTTCAGACTTCATCTCGGCAACCGTCACGGATAAAAGAGCGAGTCAGGATTGAGCTGGATTCTCGTTCGCTCTACGTGAGAGAAACGTCACGATGAGAACACGAATTCCTTGCCGATGACGTTGCCGAGCATTGCCACTTTCAGGTGAGCGACCGAGACGGCGAAAGCGAGACGGCGAAAGCGAGACGGCGAAAGCGAGACTGGAGTCGCGGCGAACGCATTGCCCGCGCGGATCAATATTTCAAGCATAATATCGACACCAGACCAATACTTCAGCTCGATACTTCTCGCATGCTCGAGCGTGGAAGTCCACGCCAAAAATGAGCAGAACGCCTCAAACAACGAGAGCCACAAAAAAAAAACGAGGCGGAAGCGCAGCTACCCCCGAACGCTAAGCGCGCTCGAGAGCAAACATCCGCAATCAGAATCGGCCGCGATCGATCCCGCGCGCCCGGTGCATTGCCCTAGTACTTAGTACCTCGCCGTAGTACCCAGTACCGAAACGAGTGCGTCGAGGGCCGGACGACCCCCTGCGTGCACCTCATCCCCCAAAAGGCAAGAAAACAATGCGTGGCAGTCTCGCTTTAGAAAAAGTTTCCTTCTCGTTTCCCGTGAGGATCCGTTTCTTTTTTTCCGCCGTCTCGCTTGGCTGAGCCGGCTCGGGGAGAGAAGTTCGCGGGACCGGGGATGAGTCGCAGGAGCGGCTCCCCTAAATGACGCAGAACATTTAGACGGGAAACAGGACGAAGCGGAAAAATTTGTTTCTAAGGAAAAAAAAAAACTCCAACGTGTTTCTCCTACCAATTTCGTTTCTATTCGACTCGTTGGCTCTTCCTTTTTATTAACTTCATTTTCTCTCGCAAAAATTGTGGAAAGTGACGCGTGCCGAGCGATATTGGAATCCTCATCCGGAGCGAAACTCCGATAAAAAAAAAAAGCAGAAACTCAGGAATTTACTCGCCTACAAAAGGGGATCGCCATGCGTTAAAAAAAACATTTGACACACATGTGAGAGACATTTGACACACGTGTGACAGACATTTGACACACATGTGACAGACATCTCCGACGAAGCCAGTCGCGCCTGCACAGCCGAGCGATAACGCTACTGTGCACAGAGCAGGCTGCGATTTTTTTTGGATTTTTTTTTCCTAGTTGGTTCTGTCAGCCGTTCGGTCCCGTTGGAGGTGGAGGTCGTTTCCGGCGTCCGGTGCAAGGAATGGGAACGCACTTGCGCTCGAGCGATGCGACTGTGCGTGTGTGCGTGAAGGTTAATGAGGCTCCGCTGGCACGCCTGCTATTAAGGTTAATTTTTTTTTTATGAAGACAGGACACGTGCCGGACACGACAACGGACGCATTTTTCACATGCAGGGACCTCTACGGCCCTGTAGGAGTCTTTAGGTTGCTCATGGGTTGCATATGGGTTGCCTACGCCCATGACTGGCACGAGTGTTTTTTTAAATGTGAACTGCACCCGCATCTCCTAGACGCGTCACACACAGTGGCGTGTACGTTATTCCGTTATTCGGAATTCTAAGCACCTTATTCACGTTATTCTAAGCAGCCTGTCTGTCGACGGAGGAAGAGCCCGCCGCCGCACGGACTCGATCCCTCGCCTCCCGGGTTTGCACTCGGAAGCCAAAACCACTCGGAAGCCAGAACCACTCGGTCGAGCCCCGGTCCTGTGTCCGTGCACGCGACTTCGAGCATCATGCATAAAAATGAAGCCCAATGAAGCTGCAAGTGCCAGCGACCCATTAATTTTAAAACTTTGTAAAGGCTTTTTTTTTTATATCGATTTTGAAAACGTATGCTTCCGGCGCCGTTCATTATCGCGAACGAACAGGAACTCCACCGGGGGAATTTTTGAAACGCATGACGTCCCATCGTCCGTGGATCCCCTGTGATGCAATCCAGGAACGCAAATGACCACCGGCCGCCGAAGCGGAGGAAAAATTGAACCCGAGCATTCAGGCCGAGAAACTGAACGGCCCCGGTCGAGACGCGCAAGTTCCGAAGGCCGTTTTGCGGCACTGCTCGCCGATGATCTGGCGCGCTGCCGACCGTGCAGCGAACGCCAGGCAATTCTCGCTCCGACCTGTCCGCACCTCAGAGGCATCCCTCGAGAGGCATCCTCGAGAGACGACATCCCATTAGAGATGGCATCCCATTAGAGATGGCATCGCGGAACGGAATGCACGACTGTCGGCTTGCCTCCCTCTCTCTCCTCCGCAGGGCCGGTCTTAGGCATGTGGCACGTGTGCCCCTGCACGGGGAAAAAATTCACCAGGGCGCAAAAATGTGGCAGAGTGAATGAAGTAATAACGGATGCCACCCTCGGTTTCATTTCAGAAACTAGAAATGCCTGTTTCGGCATCTCTTTGGACGCTAGGAATTAGCCCTTCTCCCTTCGGGAGGGGGGGGGGCTCCGTGCAGGTGCTCCGTGCTCGCATCGTGGATTGCCTCGTCGAAAGGGCATCGCGCGAGCTCTTCCCCCCCCCCCCCCCTTCGGCTTCTCCGACGCTTTCGCGCCGTGGGATCGCGTGGCCCGATGCATTTTACGGTCTTCGAATAATCTTGGATGCCTTATTTATCTCAAGACTCGGATGGAAATGTTTAAAATCCCTCCTCGTTCGGATTCGCACGGCGGAGCGGCACGCGAGAGGAGCTTCCGACAAAAGTGGCAGATATCCTAATCTCGGGTTTGTTTGGGATTAGCACGGCAGGAAGAGCGTATCTGGGGCGATTCGCTCGAAACGGACGCCCTTTTGTGCGAGGAGATATCGGCCCTTCCCCCGCGACGGATTCGAGCCGAGCCGAAGCCCGAGAGCGCAATTCGTGCGACCGCTGGAATGCACGCGAGCTACGTGAGACGTGGCCGCTGCACAGCTGTCGCGAGAACTCACGGGGTCGCCGTTCCTGGAGCGTCGATCGGCCTCCGCGGTCCCGTCGATAGTGAGCGATGGGAGGGAGATCTTGCTTTCCTCCTACCACGACTCGTGCGAGGTGTCATCGGAAGCTGTCATCCATCCGCCGAGATGAGCCGAATCACGAGACCGTGATGGTAATTGGACCCGCGGACCTTCGATCGGTGGCCCGCGGGAACCCACAAGGGAGTCCAATAGAGGAAACGCACGTGTATGACGTCATCGCTCGATCAACATGGCGGTTCCCGGTCCTATTCGTGGTTGGTCTGCCAACGTCTCCACCTTTTGTCGTGAGCACGACAGCCGAACCGTTCTTCTCCGTCGTGAATGGCTCGTGACCCCAAAGACCCGTACTTTGGAGCCGAAGTTGTGTCTGTATAGACGTGTTGAGACGTTTACAACGTTTTTTCGTGACCGTGACCCTGACCCGAGGTTCTCTTGGCCTCTAAGTACATAATACCAGGCCTAACCTCGGGCTGTGTCTGGGGTTATGTTTAAGAATTGCCCATATATGTTAGACCTCGGCCTAACTTATGCCTGAACGGGGCCTAATGTTAACTACTACTGTAAGGCCAATCCCAATGATTAACTGAAGTCTTTACTGTTATAAATTTCTTCGAGTGGTTTACATTCCTATAAATGGAGTTTTCAACTTGTTATAGTAATTATGCGAAAGTCGAGCCCGTTTCCTTAGTACAATGACGTGCTGCACAAAAGAGGCTCCATACTGAACGAATGCTTCACGCAGGGTCGTGAGTGTGTTTATCTGTAAAAGTTGGATTGTGATTTACAATATCAGCTTGAAAGCCTTTGTATCATTAGTAATGATATCGCAAGAAGCATTGAAAAGCAATAATATATTTGGACGCATGAATCGAACCAACGGCGTGAAAGCCAACCCTGCGGTTCCTCAAAGTCGGGCCTGTGATCGTGCTTCCTAGCCTCACTAAGCATCCACCACCCGGCGTGAAGGTCTTAGCAAGCCTCTATACGCGCATGCCGCTCGCCGTGTTGGCTTGCAGAGCCAGGAATGACCAATTTTGGACAGACTACATATTCCCAGCATAATTGCCTGAGAGGTACCTCCAGGAGGGAGGTTCAAAGAGGGGACTAGCTATATATCTAGATAGCTAGACTTGACAGTCAAACTTGATTAGAATATCCATGGCCTTTGATATAGATCTTAGGCTGACCATGTACTTCGACTTTCGCGTACTTACGTTACCTTTTATAACCCACAGCTGCCATAAAAGGAGGTTTATTTCATCCATATTCAAACAAATATTCATGATTAAAAAAAATTAGTTATTGTGTAGGTTCTCTGTAATTTATTGATGTTGAACTGCAATGCCCTCATGCATACTGAGATGTAAACAGTATAATAGATCTTGAAGCCAGTGAGTATTCAGAATGATGCAACCACATCATTTTGAAGTTTGGGCTGTTTTAGTAGAGATTGGGAACTACATGTTATTGGAGTCTGTTGATCAATCAACAGTTAACCCATCACCAGCAACACTGTTGATTTTTTTTACCTTTTCCAATTTCTTCATTTAGTTCTTCTAATATGCTAACAGATGGCATTACATGCTGTCATTTAAGACCCTAGACATTCACTGCAACCAATTATTCAGTTCCATCTATAGTTACAACCTACAAGCATAGGGTTTCACCTTGGCCACTTGTAGGGCTCGTAGCTGTCTATTTATGAGTCATATCTGAACCTATGCCCAACCATTTATTACAGTGGTTATTTCATGATGTGATTTCATTTCAGTGCTTGTTAACCAGACATTGAGTGAGGTTTAGAAATTAACTGGAACTCATGGCGAGGAGAAAGTCTTTATTCACGACATGCAGTCTGCTTGCAATATCTGTGATATTTGGCGTATTCCCATCCGCTGCCTCCTTCTACCTGCCTGGCTTGGCCCCAGTAAACTACTGTGACGCACAGGATAACCCCCTTTGCAAGGTAACCCTGGATTGTGCTTTTTTCATCTTTTGTTTTCATTCCTGTTTCATATGGAAACAATTGGAGATACATTGGCTTGGTTCTTGTATATTCCAGACCGAGATCCCTCTTTACGTGAATCGCCTGAACTCCGAAGAGTCTGTCATTCCCTTTGAGTACAACCAGTGAGTGAGCTTCTGATCCATGTTCTTTTAACCTGGAAATGCTAATTTATTCCATGTACTAGTTTTGAGTTGCTTTACGTTTACCATGCTAACTCAAATCAAGTCACTTTTTGGTATGATTTTAACTTCTCAATAGTCAATACATCAATGGAACCATCATTGGATTCTCCAGTCATCACTGCATAGACACCAGGAGAATTGCAATATACAGATTAATATATTTTGCATTGGTTGTAATGGAAATCTGTTGCACCCAGGCATTGAGAATTTGAGAGAGAAATGAAAAGAAGGGAGTAAGAATGAATGGTAGGACAATGGGATTAAAAACCACAGTAGCCTCTTTTAAAAGGATTGTTTTCATACTCTCCTATCTACCTGATCTGGCATTCTGTCTTTAACTTATCCCAGCCAAAAACAACAATACAGAGTAGAGAGGGCATCTCAGTGCCATTTGTCCCATAGATTCTGTGAAAGCATGTGTTCCACTCAGTGATTGTTAACTAGGAAGTGGTGGCTGCACACCACTATAAAGAATTCTGCCTGGTCTGGTAGAAGTGGGACCCTCTTGCGTGTAGCAGAGTAGACACGAGAGTGGTGAAGGGTCTGCCACAGCCTTGGTGTATTGTGGTGACATACTTCTCCTTTCTGCTAATCACTCAATTTCCCAGTGGTGATATATGCTCCTGATTAAAAAATAGTTCATGGTATCAGTGAAGTACCATTTCCACAAGAATTGCTTGTGACTACCTAAGTGGTACTTGCAATAAAAAGTCTAGGTGCTTTCTGAATTTGAAAGTAGCTTATTCTTCCTAGCTTCATACCTTTGGGTTTTTCTTTCTTTTCCAATGATATTTCTTGGATTTAGTGTTTCTGATTTCTTTATTGATACCATATTCTTCTGGAATTGAAAGTTGCAAGGTCTTATTCCCATTACTGCTGAAATCTTCATCTCCATCTGGTTAGAACCATGAACATGAAGCTATATATTAATTATACACTTTATTATTTGACTTTTTCAATTTTTATCCTTTTCTTTTAGCTTCGACTTCTGTGTGGCTGACGACAATGATGATGCTCCTGTGGAAAACCTTGGACAGGTTGTGTTTGGTGAAAGAATCAGGTCTTCTCCATACAAGGTATTTATTCTCCCCATTTCTGGGTTGTACAGTGGACTCTGCATATTGGAATACTCATGGGACCAGTGAATTTTATTCCATAATCCAGAGTATTCTAATAACTGAAACTATTTGCTGTATCATTCTATAAATTGGGACTGTGCAATGGTATTCCATTAAGTAGTATCCCATAATGCAAAGTTGACTAGTAGGTGATTGAGCCCAAAATATCTGACTAAGGGCTCAGTTATTATTGAGTGAGGTTATGTATCACAGGTATATCTTCCTGGGACAGGAGGAATTTCCAGCTTAAAAGTCTACTCTTTATAGCTTTGAGATGAATGGACTTATTTTCCTCTGTGACACTTCTTTCATCAGCCACATTCCTCTTCGATTTTGTTTTTGTAGCTTCAGTTGAAATATTCTTGTATAATAAATTATTTCCATTGAAGAACCTTTTGTGCAGCCAATATTTTCAAAACCTTATTTCTCTATAAAGCCACAGCCAAGAGAAAAATCATCTGCCTATGAAAACTAGTTGGATGACTGTGTAAATAATATTCCCCTAGAAGCTGAACACCATGTTATGCTTTACTACAGATTCAGTTTGCTGCTGACAAGAACTGTTCAGATGTGTGCACCAAGAAATATGCCAAAGGGAATGAAGCAGACAAGAACAAACTGAGTGTACTTACTCGTGGAATGCTGCTCAACTACCAGCATCACTGGATCATGGGTGAGTGCAGAAGAACTTTAGCATGCAGTTGTAGTTAGAGTCAAAGCAGCCTATATGATACGGCATGATGTCAGTGAAGTCCCAGGGAGAGAGACATTTTGAGTAGCCAATGTGTACTATTCTTTTTTTTTTTTGCCTTTCAATTTTAATATTTTTCCTTAAAGATTTATTCTTAATGCATTTTATTTCACTTGTCCCTTGTGTGTTGAGATTAAACTTGCTCCTCTATTGCTCATTCATTTGTCAATATCAGGACTCTTGTTTGTTTTTTATGTAGAAATGGTCCTGGTAGAAATCCTGTCGAACCCTTTTATGAAATTCTCATTTCAGTTAGAACACTGTTTTTCCTTGGCCTCTGTAAAAATATAAAGGGGGGCTTTTGACAACTGAGGCATGCCTCCTTTCAAGTTGAACTCAGTTGCAAAAGAAATGCAATGCTAAAGAAAATTTTCATTCTGTCTCTTTCCCATGCCTGTTTTTCCTCTCTCCAGGAAAAAAAGAAAGAGGCAAGAAAAATAAACTTCTGTTTTCCTCTTTTTGTGCAATCTCCTAATGGGGACTGCTTTCATCATTAGGACTTTCTTCACTTCTTGGAGTTCTTTTTTTTTTATCTCCCTTTGTATTCTCAGCATTGTCTGACACAAAGGAGTTTCATTAGTGAATCAAAGCATGAAAATACTATATTTTTTGTGACTGAGTTGAAGGATCTGGGTTAGTCTTTCTTGAACTACAGTATGATGGCAGTCCTTGCTGAAATGGGAAGCAGTTTGAAAGAATGAATCTTGAATTTTGGTCATGATGCAGACAACATGCCGGTGACATGGTGCTACCCGGTGGAAGGAGGAGAGAACTATTGCAGCACTGGCTTCCCAATGGGCTGCTATGTTGACAAAAAAGGACAGCCAAAGGATGCCTGTCTCATTAGTGTTAGTCCTTTTTTGCCTTTTGTTTTTTTTACTTCATGTTCTTGGTGACTCCCTTTCTTTTGGTTCTATATTCAGTGGTACTTGTAACAATTAGTGTAATTGTCATTGATGTGAGGGGGGTGTTGGTATGAATCTTCTACATGAAGTCGCATTCCTTTGTGAAGGGAATAAGTACTTCAGGACTCAATCGTAGTGCCAATTACACAACAGGTCTGAAAAGTTTCTGAAAACATCTAATAATAACTAAACGATTTTTTTCATTAGTACACAGAAATATTCCACCTCCTGTAATCACTCTTCCAGTACTTGCTCTTTTAGCATTTGGAGGGCAATGCTTACAAACTCCTGTAGAAGCCTGCAATTGTCATGAAGATTGCAGGATTATTGTCAGTGAGGTTTATGGGTCCTGGTGGAATCTGTTATACCCTTTGCTTCTCAACTTCTTTGCTTTATTTGAAGGATATGTTATGTTCATCTACTAAAAAATTTTCTTTATGTGGTCATTGTCAGTAATGCTAGGTCTGATTTTCAGTCAGGTTCAATGTATACTTATCGATATTGTAATGTTACGATGCATTGCCAGTTTTTCTTTTATTCATAACTATGGAAAAGTATGCTGTTTACTTAATTTTCCCTTGTCATATTGTCTGAAGTTGCCTTAAGAAGATACTGTATTGGGATGGGATTGTCCATTTCATTTGGGAAAAATTAGCTGCATGAAAATATTATTAACACTTTCATTGGTGATTTTAGTGTATCAGTTTTGTCCAAGGTTGGGCCTACCAAAGTATGCACTGTCAAAATTTTGAGCATATCATGTCTAAATCTTTTTACACAATGATTCCCATGTATATTCTAGAATAATTCTGTAGGTTTCTATGCTAAAATTGCTCAAAATCACAAGCTGTCATTCCACCAAACAAAAAGTTCACCCTTTTGAAAGCATACTGGTTCAGAAAAACTCATCCATTAAATTGTGTTAATATGCATTGGCAGTGAGGCATGGTCTGAGATTGCCTCCAACTTTTGAAATAAAGCCTTTGTTCATTACAAAGGTCAAGCCCTCCTTTATGTATTAAAGTTGTACTCCCTAAGTGTATGTATAGACTGTTAAACAGTTTTATGGTCTCAAGGTAGTGTAGATACCAAAGGGAGTATTCGCAGTCACTAAGTAGTGATGGATATTTTGATTTATTATTCTTCAGCTTTTCATTATTTTAATAGTCAAGTCCTTAATATTCCCGTTTCTTTCCTTTCTATTAACATGTCTCTCTAAACTGAATCCTGATTGAAAAATAATTTGCAGGAAGCATATAGTGAGAAGGACACATTCTACATCTTCAACCATGTGGATCTCACCATCCACTATCACAATGGTCAGGGTGAGGACTGGGGCAAGAACATCAATGGCAAGATTGGTCGTGTTGTTGGTATGTTTCCATTCTACATTTTCATCTCTTTCTGAAATAATTTTATGAGCTTTATTATTCTGTGCAGCATAAGCAACTCCAGTCTCATAACAGGTGGTAAAAAGTCCTTAAGGGGTTAATGTAGTGCACTGTAAGTAAAACATCATTCAGCAACAGAAAATATGTTGTTAGTAAGTAAAGGTTATTGTAGTGCTTCATGTAGACCATTTATGAGGAGTTCTTAACCTTTTTTTTTTTACTAACATCATTCCACAAAAATGCTGTAAGCATTCTTATGAACTGGAGAGAAAGTATGAAAGGCCATAGCAGTCAGATCCTCATTTTTTCACTGAGTACTATCAGTGCAGGATGACATTCCCCCCAATTTTGTCTTTTGCAAAGTAAGTTTGTGAAGAATTGCATATGGGTGAGATTGCTAGACTGTGGTGGTGAAGTAAATTCCAGTAATTGTGTATGGATTCTTTGAAAAAAATAGAAAATTTGCAGAACAGACTATTGAATCAGGAAATTTTTGGTGGCATAGAGGTGGTCCTCCCTGATGTGCCTGTTGTCTTTGAGGAAGCCTTGTTTCCTGGTGTCCTTTCCCTATATTTTACAAGGTTCTCCCAGGGCAGTTTTCATGCTTTGTTATAGAGCTTATGTTGATGTTCATTGACTGTAATTTAGCAACACATGAACAGGTGATAGCTCCATTAGTGGAGTGAAGCATGTTTACTTCTTCTCCCTGAATGTTTGTGATTGCTAGCAAAAAATGTGATGTAATGGTGATTCAGTTTGGCTTCTTGATGGTGGTCAGGATTATGTCACTGATAAATTTTCTGAGATCCAAGAATTCATAGTTTCTAAGCTATAAAAGTGAGTTTTCATACTACTCCCATGGCCTGTTGAGTTGGAGTTATGGTTACAAATGTGACTGCAGCAATTTGGATAGGCCATACATTGGGAACTGCTTGTAGTGAGTAAACTGTTCAGTATATTGCAGATAATGCATCCTGGACACATATCTGTTCTTGAATAGTGGATACCCTTCAAACCTTGAAAGAATATGTCTACAGTGTGTGTCCATGAAGGAAAGTGAGTTACTGCCTTTTCTATTTGTGACTGGAAGATGTATACCATAGCAGAATGAAGGGTGGACTGTAGCCCAAAAATTCAGAACCTAGAATTTTTGCGTGGTGACTTTGCCTTTTTTGGCTTTCCCCATGGCATGTGGGTTTATGATGCTGATAAACAAATTTTATAACTTAAGATTAGAGAGGGGAGATGGAAAAGATGGATCTTGTTGACAGTGTAAACCTACATTTCTTTTCTCTACTTCCCCAGAAAATTGAAAACCTAAATTGTGATTTGGCGATGAGGACATTACTCACTTCATTCATCAAGTCTGACATTCCTTATGTTGATTCTGATTCTCGTTATGTTTCATTCAACTATAGCCAATCAACGTTGTTCATTGAAATTCTCTAAAAAATTGGAATTTAAATTGTAAGAGGGATGAATTTTGTTCTGGTTTGATGTATGATAACCTGCAGCATCCTGTGACGTTGAGACCTGAGGTTGCATGAGTGTGAAAGAGCTACTGGTAGTTGAAAACATTTTAAAAGTATTGCTGTGAATTCTGAATTAATAAGACTATACGTAGCAAAAAGCTCTTCATATTGAAGACATGCCATGGGCTCCTTTGGCAGACCTAATGATATTCTGACTGGATTATACTGGAAAATCCAGAACATAATGTTATTATTTGTACATAGTATTTCAGCTTTTTTGTATGCTGACATAAATACGTGATTACTCACTATGCATTTTTTTTTCCTTGAAGCTTCATTCTGAATGCTATGTTTTGATGGTAAAGCATGCACTGAGGAATTATTTCTGATGTAAGATCTGGATCAACAACTGCTGCATTAATGTCAGAGGTAGTTTTTTATGTTTTCCTAATATAATATGGCTAAAGACTGAGCAATTCTGGGATGAACTAAGATTAGGGGTTGCTTTTCTCAGGCTATCTCAAAAGTGACATGACTCCTCCCCCATTAAGCAGGGAATATGCTAATATCATGAATTGATTTCATTATTATTGTGGAAATGTGTTAAATTATGCTGTTACTTCATAATTGAAACATGCTCTTCACCCTATGTTGTTAGATCTATGGAAATGGAAGTGCTTTCAAATGTAACACAATTAAGAGCTGGTTATGTTGCTCCTTTCATTTCTGATGTAGTACAATCTACAGTTTGCTTTAAAGAAATAGTCATTGCTGAACTTACTCATGTGAAGTTCTTTTCTCTTTTTTTCTCTTCAAGATGTGAGGGTGTTCCCTCGTAGTGTTCAGCATTCAGCTGGGAAGGGATGTGGAAACACAGCACCCCCTATGGCCATTCCTGGAGACCTCAAGTTGAGCAAGGACCTTGAGATCAAGTACACCTACTCTGTCAAGTTTATAGTCAGTATTCCTTCTCTAAATATGTTCCCCAGGCATTTTCAAAGCTTAACATTGCATTCATTATTGACTGATGGTATAGACCATCTATTGCAGGTTGTTTAACCTTTTGGGGTCCATGCCAGTTATCTTGTGTTGGTCTTATGATGAAGGATAGAAAATACTTGGATGGCAGTGCTGACATTTGAAATTCTCAGACCTCAAAGGGTTAAGGAGATTTTATGGAATGATTTATGTTTGCAAATGTAGTCTATATATTTTCTTGAGGCCAACATGGACATGTAAACCTGTTCTTGGATGTTGTCTGTATCTTTGTCTGTGCCAATTTTACTTGGGAAGAAGTGATGATATTAGGCCTCTTTTGTCATATCTTTGAAATTATTATCTTAATCAACATTCAGGTTGGTTAAGTATAACTTATTAAGTATATCCTATCTATATAATTTATTTTTCCTCTTTATTAGGACATGCAGCTTTAATTGGCTTTGAATTCTTGATTTCACATTTTGTATTGTTGCCTTTAAATTTCACCTTTGAAACCTGTTCTTCATGTCAACTACAGATAAACAACAGCAAGAAGTGGAGCAGCCGATGGGACTACATCCTTGAGTCAAAGCCTCACACCAATATCCAGTGGTTTTCCATTTTCAACTCCCTTGTCATTGTTCTCTTCCTCTCTGGTATGGTTGCCATGATCATGCTCCGCACTCTGCACAAGGACATTGCCCGCTACAACCAGGTTTGTCATTCGAAATGACATGATCATGACTTATGGGTGGCTAGATGGTTGCTTCTTGACTCCTCTTTTCATGTCTCTGGCAAGATACTAACTCCCTTCCATGTGATGACGGAATGTAAAAACAATTTTTCACATTCTAAAACTCATTATTTGATTGCAGTTGGATAGTGGGGAAGATGCCCAAGAGGAGTTTGGTTGGAAACTGGTCCATGGGGATGTTTTCCGTCCACCCCGCAAAGGCATGCTCCTGGCTGTATTCCTTGGAAGTGGGACGCAGGTGTTCCTCATGGCTCTCGTCACTCTCGGTCAGATTCTATTGAAAAATGTGGTTATGTTCAGATTTTGTATATTCAACAAGGTTGGAGTTGGAGAAAGAATTGCCATATAATTTTGAAATGAAATTATGGATTTAACTCTATTTAGGATACAGGTTTGTTTGCCTTGGATTCTGAGGATTGTTGAGCTGACTTGTTCAATGGCAAGGCAGGGAAATCAGAAAATCACTTTTACTAAAGCCCAAAAAGATGATGAAAGGACTATACCATGGTGAAAGTGGAGATTCTGTAAATGTAGACTTAGATCAGGAAGGTGATCTTGAAACGAAATATTTTAGCTGCAACCCTAATGTGTTGCAGCTAAATTGCTCAAAATTTTCAGAAATATCCTCTGTCGCAAACAAAATTCAGCAATTTTCTTTTGTGGATGCCTCCAGTGTTTGCATGCCTGGGTTTCCTGTCCCCTGCAAACCGGGGTTCTCTGGCAACATGTGCACTGGTCCTGTACGTGTGCTTGGGTACTCCTGCCGGCTATGTCTCTGCACGCCTGTACAAGTCTTTTGGCGGGGAGAAGTGGAAGTCTAACGTCCTCCTCACAGCGATGCTCTGCCCTGCGTAAGTCTATTTATCTTAACATCCATCATTAAAAACATTCTAAGTCCCATATTTTTTCAGACAATTCTTTTTCATTTTCACCTTGCGGTTCTTGTGTTATGTTTCTGAGAGTTCTACATTTGGCTAGTTCATTCAGCTGCAAGGCAACATGGTGTTTTGGGTAAAATAATGTTATCTTGTAACTTGGAGGTTTTAGGTTTGGATTAACTCAAGTGCTTAATTATTTTTTGCTACTTTGTTATTTTGCATGGAAATATTCATGTTATTCAATATGCAAATCATCAAAGCATTTGATCACAAATTATTTCCTGATAGCAGCTGGAATAAGACATTTGTTTTTTATGGTTACATTTACACTGAAAATGACTATTGATATGCTGATTCAAAGCAAGTGCATGTAAATGAGTAAATGAAAAAATATGTGCGAAGTAGTGAAAACTGTCAAGTCAGGTTTTACTATTTCGCCAGTCAGGCACACCAATTATCCTCATTCATCTTGACTGAATTTACTTTTGTCTGGTGTTGAACTCTGTTTGACTTGTGTTGGTTTTTTAGGATCCTGTTTTCAGTTTGCTTTGTGCTGAATGTCATGCTGTGGGCTGTGGGAAGTTCGGCAGCTGTCCCATTCCTCATTCTTCTGGCCCTCCTTGCTCTCTGGTTTGGCATTTCGGTCCCACTCACCTTCATTGGTGCCTACTTTGGATTCCGCAAACGGGTCAGTGTTTCACCAAGCAGGATGTCAAGAATTGTTTAGTTTCATTTGAGTTGTTCCATGAGTTTTCTCATGCTGGGGAATAGGACTTGATTTATATTTATAGTGCAGCTTGGGAAGGACTGCCAGCATTTGCGATCAATCAATTTGTTGTCTTTGTTTTTAGTTCTGAATAAAAGTAATATTAACTGTGTGAAGTGATATCTTGAAACTAAAAATGTTAAGATTTAGATCCATTCATTTGATTCATGAGATTTGGTATTCATTCTTGCATGTAGCCATTGGAATTCCCTGTGCGGACAAACCAGATTCCTCGCCAGATTCCTGAGCAAAGTTTCTACACACAGCCCATTCCAGGTATTTTTGGATTTTATCTGGCTTCACTTGAGAATCCAATAGACAAACTTTTCCCCCAGTTGCAGACCTGTTGGACTGAATATAGTCATAAAATATGCAATGGGAGCAAAATTATATCAGGAATATTTGTGGAAATTCCAGAAATTCTTTACTCATATGAAAAGGATCAAATGGATTCAGCTATTACTGCTTGAAACGGTAATAAGGGAAGTGAACAGGGATACATGAAGGTGGTGGTCATGTGACAAATATAAATTCTAGTCATTAAGTTCATGCTCAAACTTAGCTAACAGGGGCAGAGATGCTGATTTTCAGGTATTTATGGTAAATCTGTTACCCACTTGCAATTGGTTTTACTACTGAGTGTTCATAGTTACCAATTGCCAGTAAATATTAGTATGCTCTGCTGTTACTGAAATTTGCTCATGAGGGTGTGTAGTTAATTGGGGGGGTTTTGTTCCTTCTTTCTTTCATTCCACCTCATGGATAGAAGCAAGATAAATATTCCAACATGTGAACCTTTTTTATTTTGTAGATTGATGGAAAGTAAAGTTTTTCCTTAAAAACAAATGTGATGATTTGAAGTAAAAAATTTGCCTGCTGGATACCTGTGAGATTTCCTTAACCCTTTGTACATAGTTATTGTTGAGCAAGCCCATCCACACTGATCATATCATGATGTCTCTGTAGGTATCATCATGGGAGGGATCCTCCCCTTTGGTTGCATCTTCATCCAGCTCTTCTTCATTCTCAACTCAATCTGGTGCCCCATACTTCATCTATTTCAGAATCAGTGCAACATTTGAGTGGATTTATTTAATTAATATTTTTTTGTGTAGGTCAAGTCAGGTGTACTACATGTTTGGATTCCTGTTCCTGGTTTTCATCATCCTGCTTATCACCTGCTCTGAGACTACTATACTCCTCTGCTATTTCCACCTCTGTGCTGAGGTGTGACACAATCCCTGAGTCAGCAACTTTGAACAGAAAATTGAAAAAAAGGAAATTAAAATGGAAGAACATAAATTATTTTTATTGTTATATTTGAACTTGTTTTGTGGCCGAAAACAGTGGCAGGTAGACTTAGGTAAATGCTCTGAAGCAGTTTCCAATCTCCTGATTTTTTTCCTTTAGAATCTTTTGGATATATGATGGGTCATGACCCCATCATTTTGGAAAATTTGTAGAAGAAAAAATCCAAGTACTGGTCATTCCTTCTTTTTTAGAACAAATTTTCCATTCTCTGGTGACAGCCCAGTTTGCTTGATGGGAAGCAAAGTCTGGGACATGATGAGACCCATAGATTGTAAATAGACTTCCATAGACATGGAATATGCATAATACAGTGTGACTTTAACAATAGAAAACCGAAGGATTTATTTATTATTATTAAGGATTTATTCAAGATTATTCACAAATGATTTACAAATATTCAAAGTGTTGTTAAAGGCGTGCTAATTGCAATCCTTTGGTTTTCTACTGGGCACCCTGTAGTTTCATGGCCAAGAACAGAGAAGTCTAGTCTGGGGCATTTGTGTGAGAGCCTCCCATATGTAAATATGTCAAATGAGGCCAAAATTCAAGTTAGATTGAACAGAAAACACAGTTTTTCTCTGCTCCCATCCCCTGAATTGACCTTACCCAAGATCCATGTACATTTATCTGACGGTTTTCATCTCATCATATCTCATACTGCTGGGCTTGGATGTAAAAGAGTACTGCCAATGTTTGCTGTTTGGGCTCCATTATGAGTATTTATGTCTTTGTATCAATTGCAGTGGTTAGGACTACCTGTTTTTGGTTTGTGTTTTGACAATGGAATTAAACCTTTATTTTGTTTCTTGCCTGTGGTGTAACAGGACTACCACTGGTGGTGGAGAAGTTTCCTGACAAGTGGGAGTACTGCATTGTACCTCTTCATCTACTGTGTCCACTACTTCTTCACCAAGCTGGACATCAAGGGGGGGATCTCCACTTTTCTGTACTTTGGATACACCTTCATGTTTGTCTTTCTCTTCTTCCTTCTCACTGGTAAGTCACCTCACACCATATTAGTTGTCTCTCACATAAAGAATGAATCTTTTATAAGTAAGCAGCATAGGTGATGAATATAAATGGAATCCCTATGAAAAGTAGTTGGCTGTTTAAGGAAATAATAAAGTCAAATTGAAATAGGTTGTTCTTTGTGGCTTTGATAGCATTACTGTGACCCATCCAAACTAGGTGGAATTTCTCTACTTGGAGAAAACTATTCATGCTCTGTTTAGATATTTAACATCCATGGTTGGTCAGTTGTGTTTCTACATAACAATTTAAGCTTTTGGACTTCTTAAGTGTTTAATGTGTATGGAAAGGTACACGTGCCCTTTTCCAATGCCAAGGAATGTATATATGAACTTACTTCCTAGTGTTCAGTCATTTCATCATTGAAATGATCCATGGCATATTGTACTCAGCATATTGCAATATAAATAATGCTCCTAAAGTGATCAAGACAATGTTATGCTTCATCAAACTTGATGGGTTCGGTTCTGAATGGGCTGTTTGGTTTTAGTTGCTGTTCTCTTAATGGCAGTTTTTGTCCATTTTGAGTTGGCTCTTATTTAGCATCTTGGCTGTGATTCAGGTGAGTGATTTTTGGCTAATGACTTAGTACAAAGTAAGTGGCTCTGGGGCATTCTTGAAATTGTTGGCAGTTTGGAGCAATTAAAAACAAAGGCATATCTGGATAATTAGATCTTGTTCATTTATTTCTCCAATTTTTTTTATTAGGGTGGAAGTGACCTCTGGCCTGAACTTGGTCAGATGTCAAGGGTACTTGGCCTAAATGTTTGGATCTCATGCACTCATCCCTTGATAATACACAAATGAACAGAGAACAGTCTCTTATCCAAAGTCCCAATGCCCTTTGAGAAGTTGTGGGGGGGAAAATTTCAAGAAAGTCTTCTAATATTCACCATTGGAGGAATAAATTTATTTGCTTGTTTCATGCAAAGTCTCTTGAAGAGGCATATGCACAAGTCATGGCTTACTTGAAGCCTGTTTTTAATTTGTATGTGCTTACTTGTTTCTGCAATATTACCTATGGAAACATATATTAGACCATAATTCAAGATTCTTCATAATGTCTTCTGTGACTCTTGAAACCCTCTTGAAAATTATTGTTTCATTACATTCACTGCAGTAGGCAGATAGGTATACCATCCTTGAGGTGAATATCACAGAACAGCCTCAAATACCAGTGCTGTCAAATTTTTCTTTAAAATGGTGTGTACACATCCTAGTGCAGTTTAATTAAACTGCACTAGGATGTGATATGTGCTTAATGATTCATTTTTGTGTCGTATTGAAATGGAATTGAAAAGAGTGTATTTCATTTATACAATTTGGAAAAACTGCAAGCCTGGTGGCAAGGAAGAGACTCAAGAGGGGAGGGGGGGGGTTTGGACTTGCCTCATAGCCATCATCCATATTCCCCTTCCTCATTCATGCATTCTTTCCTTACCCCCTTGCTTCCTTGCCTTGCCCATGATTCTTAACTGGTGTTGAACTTGCCCTTGATTATCTAATTTTTTGTAGCAGAGTCTCCACTCCTTCAATGAGCTCATTCCAAACCTGAACATTATTTTATTGTTTGAGATTGAATTTGAACTATATCCAGACCACAATAGAGTGAACACAAGCTGACATGGCTTGGATACTTCCCATGGATGCCATTTTTCTGTTTTCTTCTTCATGTCATTTTTAATGGAGTCTCCTCTCTACATAGCAGGAACATTTTTTTGCTATGAAGCTTTACTTCTAAATTTACAGGGATTTTACTGATTTAAGCTAGTTTTTACTGCAAAAAAATGTTTGCTTTGATATTTGCATCTGTTATGTAATGTAAACATTAACCTAGAATGGGCTGTCTGACTCTCCCTCCTTTTCTCCAACCCTCAGCCATCTCCACACCATTGTCTTTGGACATCCTCTTGTAATCTCCTCTCCCTTATTCATTCATTGCATACCTTATTACCTCATGTTGCTGTGATGGTGCCCCAAAAGGGTACTCATTTCTAGACTTGGTTTCATTGAATTTGTCTTCATATTAGGTTTGATTTTCATGAGATATTCCTTCATCTGGAGTATGCTGGCTTACAACCTGTTTTTTTTATTTTTTGCAGGAACCATTGGCTTCATGGCCTGCTTTTGGTTTGTGCGCAAAATCTACAGTGTTGTCAAGGTGGACTGAAAATAGTTTCTGCACTCTACATGCACTGCTCCCATGTGATAATCCAACAGCTGGGTGGTTTTTCTTGTTTAGCATTATGTAGTTTTCATCTCAAATGAAAATTTCCCTCTGTGAATGGCGATCAGCTCCTCTCGTTATAGATTCATATTGATCCCTCCCTTGGTTCTTGTTATTTATATGCAAAAGTTTTGCACCTTTGTGGGCATTGGAGCAGAGAGTGCTCTGTTTTGAATGTGGTTTTCTCCCTTCTATTGCGATGGTGATCATGTGATTATGTTTTAAGCACTGATGATAATCATAGTCTTATTGAAAATTGATTTGTATTATCTGAATGAAGCTGCACATAGAAGGTAGGGAATTGTGGCTTTTGTGTTTTGGTTGTACCATGGGAATGAAAAGAGAAGGAGCAGAGATTGCAGCAATGCAATCTGGGTTTCTAAAGGGCCCTCCTGGCTTGATTGATTCAGGACTTTCAATGGCTGAACCATGTTCTGAGTATTTTGATGGAGATCATTTCTTGGGGCTGAGCATCTTATTTTAAGGAGTATATGGACAACAAATCATGTTTTCTAAATGTGTTTTGTGCGAACTATTAGCATGTGATGGCAAAGTACTTAATTCTGGAGAGAATAGTATATATTTTTTCAAGATGATATTGGGTGTAAGGTGGTCCATATTTAACCCCAGCATTTTCAAGTTCACCATGTCTCCCACTCCTACCTGCTGCTTTGTGTCAGCTTAAAATTTTGCTTCTTTCTTTGGTATTCCCTGCTTCTAATAGCTGATCATATCCAGAGAAGGTGTGAATAAAGCAGCACGTCGTGCCTCATCATCCTGGTGATGAATGCCCATGGTATTGGTTTCTCAGAACACAGTGAATGTTTCTGCGAAGGAAATTCATGCCAAGAGTTTAATTCTTGGATTTTCTGCCCTTGTGAAGTTTCTTCAGTCACAGGATTTTTTCTAGCCATTTTTGCTGGGGATTTGTTCTGCTCTTTTCCCTTCAGCTTCTACATGAGTTTTGGTTACGAAGCTCCCAATCAGCAGTTTTCTTGAAGGCTAGGCATTCAGATGGGTTTGGTTGATCTGATTATTGGAAGCATTGTCAACTTGCCAATTTCATGAAACTCCTACTCTTAGGGTACTGGATTTTTCATTAGAGTGGTTGTTTGTAATAATCATTCAAATCACCTGTATTGTTAAAAAAAAAAGAAGTAAATTGATGAAATACTGAAGTCGGTGGGAAGTTCTGCCATTTGCAAATACTGGGTTGGATGATGTGAAAGTCTTTCCATCAGCCATGAATATCTCACTGTTATAGTTTCTTTGTTTCATTTGTAGACATTCCAATTCCACTCAGAGGGTGAAATCTTTGGCATACAATTAAATGCCGTTCTATCACCAGGTTTTGTAGAGTTATTGTTCACTGAGTTCACTGGTGAAGCTGCAATCATCAGAAAAGTTAGAGTACAGGTAGTCTCTTTACTTTGCTTGTACAAAAATATTCCAACTTTTAGGAGCTTGGCAGTGAAATTTTGCATTACTGCTCTTCAGGTTGAACATAGGAATAGTATTTATAGAATTTTGTTAGAAAAAACTCATTTTTAATGCCACAGGACAGCTGAATGCAACAGAAAGCTTTCACTGTAAATTCCATTTCAAACTGCTCACACATATGGCCAGCTCATCCTACAGGCCTAGAAAGCCAACCGTCTTGCAGACCTCTTTTTTCATTTAAAAAAAATTTAACATTTTTTCATCATTCTGTCATGCCCTTGTCCTTGAATTTAGTAGAGACAGTGGGTGCAGCCTTGTTGCATGATCCAAATTTCGAGTTTAATCATCCTATCCACATTGCCAAAGTGTGAACATCCTGAGTATAGGTGGTTCAGACTTTAGTTATCTTGGGACTAGTCTTGCCCTGCATACTATCCTGTTGTCAGACTACTTTTGTATCGGTGTGGGAAACATGCCTTCATGGCTCCATAAAAAATTAAACCTGGACAGATTTCATTTTCCCTGTGCCTAGCATTTCCTAAGGTGCTCACACATCCAGGTGTGGTTTGATGATTGACTGGACTACCATTCTCTGGAAAACTTTGGGACTTCGTGCCAATTTGTCTTCGTTGCTCGGCAATAATGGCACTCTCTAAGCCTATCTTTCAATCTTGACTGCATCAACCCCAGCCATGTGGCAATGACTGAGATCTGCTTGGTGACTTAAAAAGTTCATGTTCAAGGCAATTTGTCTTCGTTGCTCGGCAATAATGGCACTCTCTAAGCCTATCTTTCAATCTTGACTGCATCAACCCCAGCCATGTGGCAATGACTGAGATCTGCTTGGTGACTTAAAAAGTTCATGTTCTTCCGTTACTTTAGTTCTCCTCCCTTTTACACATTAAGGGACGACTCCTCTTCGGTCGACGTAGTGTCTTACCGTTCAAACAGTCCTGAGACCACGTCGTGATTACGAATTAAGTGGACACACTTAATAAATGACCATTTTAGAAGTGGAAAATACCATTTCTGAAGCAGAAATCTAAAAAATAAGAATAGGTTTATTAAATAATATGACCATGGCCAGATTTGACTTGATGTGCTAACTTGCTAACCCAGACATTGAGAAACTTCTTTTTTTTCTTCAAATTACTGACTTGTCTAAGGTATTGACAAATACATTTCCACCCTTCTTTTTTTTCCTGACTGAAAAATAAGCTCACACTGCAAAATCCATGTAATACTCTCCAATCATTAATTTGGTTCCTTCATGTAGTCACATGAGAAATTCCTGATTTTTTTGTTTTAATTTGTGCAAAGAAACTTGTTGAAGCTCTAATGAAAGCAAATGAGATTGATTAAGAGTTGACTGCAAAGAGGGAGGGAAAATCTTAGTGATGAGAGCAATCCCCCATGACCTTATTCTGAGAATGAGAATAACTGAGGAGCGAAGTCTTTTGTGTCTCAAATTCTCTGGATGAAGAGAAATGAAGAGGGAAAGAGAACGGGAACACTTATTGAGATGGATTTTATCTCTTCTAGTTAGTACAGGTCAAGGAGGAGAATGGGCAAGAAGGCCTAAACAAGACTTGAAACAAATAGGTGCACTGAGAACTGCAGAATGACAGCATTCAAATTTAATGGGAAATTGTAATTTATGTTCCATTGGATTTCTGCAAGAACCTTCCTTGTCCGAGTTACTGGTAGTCCCCGATGACCAGCACTCGAGTAGACCAGAAGATATGAGGATATATGACACACCACAGCTTTCACAAATGTGTAGCAGCTAGCAAAGTCTTGATCCTTTTGTGGCAAAATGGCTATGATTTTTACACTTTAGGCCAAGACTCAGTGGTTTTTTTTGGCCCAACTTCAGGTTTTCATGTGAGTAACATGGAAGTATTACCAATTGAGCATGCAGGTTCATGGTATTTCAGTTTTCTCATTGTGCATCAAATTCCTTGCAGGGTGTGTCAACATGCCCCTGGCCCACAGTGAAGGTATTGGTGGACATGTTGGCGCATCTTGTGGTTGCAAAAGGGTCAAGTTTAACTTGAGAGCACTTTAGTTTAAAGGAGATGAAACTGTTTTGAAGTCTGTGCAGTATGCTAATGCATCCTTTTTCTGCATCGAAAAGGAGTTAGTGCATGTGAAAGAACTTTCTGTGGGGTCGAGGGAAATGGATGATGTGAAAGTGAGCTAGGGTCCATCCATTGTGGACTCCTGTGCCATCCGTGTGGAATCGAAGTGCCATCCAGGATGCAGGACCCAACACTGCATGACCCGTCACACCTTCTCTGGGATCTCTGCAAGCTAGTCACCCACTGCCGAAATGAGGGTAAGTGCCATCCTGATTTCAGTGGTTAAGCAGAAGTTTGTTTCTAACTCCTCAAAATTTGTTTGAATTTATACATCACAAAATCATAAAAATGTGAAAAATCCATTTCTTTATGCAAGTATTCTGCTATAGCATCATAGTTGGTATATGCATTGAGCACAATACAATATATATATATATATATATATATATATATGTTGTGTTCATGACATTCCTCCTTATGCTCTAGAGCTAGTTTAGGTTCATATAAATCCCAGCAAAAATGATTAAGTGACTGTTGAGGCTTGTGTCTGTACCTGCTGACAAACGAAGTCTCAATGCTTTTTCTATTTTACTGTAAAAAGCATTCATGAAAAAAACTACATTCATCATGCCATGCATGCAGGCTTGCTCACTCAAGCCAGAAAAACTGGATTTGGATGATATAGTGACATTGATCTTGTGTTTAGTTTGAGGCATGTGCCTCAAATAAGAGATCAGAGAAATAGCAAGGTAATTGGTACACCATAGAGCTGATAGTCCAGAATGGTGACTGGTAAGGCTAGAACTCTATTGTGTTGGTGAAGTTCTTCCGTGGCCCTAAGAAATTCGCCACAAGAATGTCGTATGAGACAGGTGACCCAGACTTTCCTGTTATCAACCTGTTGTAATGCCCATTAAATAATTCCATGCTGTGATTGGGATTACCATCGCTCATATTCTGAAGCATTAAAAGTTCATAAGAATGCCACTTGTTTTCTTTCAAGATGTGAACAGTGCTTCCTGGCTTATTCCGGTCTCATATGACATTCTCATGGTGGATTCTTTGGACGGAGGAAAAACTTCACCAACACAGTAGAGCTTCTTGCCTCATCAGTTGCTGTTCTGGGCCCTCCACTCCATGGTTTATCAATTACATTGCTAGTTTCTCTGTACTCAGACACAGACTTCATTACAGCATTGTGTGAATTGGAGGATGGTCCTGATGATTGTTGTTAAATATCTCACAAACTTCCTGCACAGTTTTACCTCTGAACAAAAGTATCACTTCAGTGTCTTCTTCTTTTGTCAGTACCATTTTCCCTGAAAAAGAGACAAAAAATAATTTTTCCCTTTGGTTCTAGACTTTTGACTAACCCAGTACAGTAGGAAGCCTATAGGTGGAGTGTGACAGCAGTTTGAAATATTGTTTGACAATGCTAGGAGAGTGATTAGTTTACTTTGGAAAAGAACCCTCCAAAATGTTCAAGATGGTTCACCAAGAATGTGTGATCTGGCTCTTGCACAGAGGCCCTGTTGCCAACGTACCGGTGGTGCGAGCGGATGTTGACCCTGGATGGTGCATCCTTGAGGGGAGGCCCAGGGAATTCTCTCCAGACCATGGAGAGCCTGGGGCAGATCATTGCGAGGCAGCTGGTACGGGAAGGACGCAACACCGATGCCCGTCGCATCCTTCGCTCTGCTGCACTCCTCAAGGACAAGGTAGCTACTGGATACTAGATTTGACTCTTGGAAGAAGTGTGGTCAATTTTGCATTAATGGCAATGAGATATCCCATCTTCAAGTCCATATATATATATATTATATTCTTGGATAAAATGTTCAAATGTGCATTTTATGTGTATGTTGGTATTCCTTCAACTGACTTGTGAAACTTTTTCTAGAATTATTATTCGAAGGAAGACTATGAGCAATGTTTAAAGAGTAGTAAGATATTGAAATAGATATGAATTAGGATAAGGAGCTGAGTAGAGAAAATACCTTTTTTAATAATCATGTACAATATCACTTTAGTGGAATATATTGATTGCATTTTAAAAATTATTTTAACATGTTGACTGCCACGGAAATGCTGGCCTATTGATTTTCCCATTCAGTGAGGCACACCAGTGTGCCTTGTGGCAGTCAACCTGTTGAAGGTCTCTTGGGATACTTTTTGGCATGACTCACTAAGTTTTCTAAAGGGTACTCACATTGAAGCAATATTCAGAAATTTTCTCTTAATGGTTAATTATATGTATGATTAAGTGGTCTTTCTCCAGTCATAAGGAGAGTTTTGAAATACATTATTTGGCCATTCAATAACACTTTCATGAGCATTGCAATCATAGGTGAAAGCTGTGTAGTGATTTCATTTTTTTTTTAAGATGTTGCTTTTGACTTGCTTTTTGGCTGCCCAAAATTTATATTATTCATCATTACAACCATATAGTGATCATTATTATAACTATTGTGAACTTGACACCTCTGTAGTTTTTGAAGCACTTAATCTAAAATTGTTACGTTAAAAAATATATAAATTGAAAGACTCAGATTAGTGCAGTAATGTGAATCTGGGGATATCCCCATTTTGTTTATTCTGTTGTTAATAGTTTCAATCCTCTCCACCTCCTCATTACCATCCATTCCAAATTATAAATAATCTCTGTCACCTATTGTAAAATTGAAGTTTCGATTTGACCTTGAAAAACATTTTTTCTATAGAGAAAATGAACTTTCATTTTGTGACATTCTTGATCAATATTATTTGGTCTGACTAGGAAGTGGTAGAGGAGAAAAGGCTAAACAGGCAGTTGAGACCAAAAGTGTACTCTATGCCTTCATAAGTTATCAAAAGTTTAAAGCTGGTTCCCTCATTTCTTTCTTTGTTGTCCATGAATGACCACGAGTAATACGTAAGACATATAATCCTCCGAACGACAACCCAACATGACACGGACAGAAAATAACTTAACGAAGTAGAAAAAAAAATAGTGCTGTCCCTCCTGCACGACTCTACGACTCCCTCCTGTATCAGCTGATGGGGTCAAATGATTCCCATCCGACTTTTCATGGAAGTTCTACCATCCTCAATGGACACGGCCCACCTTCTTCCACTCCCGTACCTTCATCTTCCACTTCCCACTCACAGGTGAGATTGTGTTTTTTGTGTTTTATTCAATAAATGCTATAAGGATAATCTTTTGAGGGTTCTAGTGCTTTGCCTTCAATGTCACAATGATTTAGTTAGTCCTTTTGGATGAGCATGACTAGTTTTCCAATTTATATATGAAATATATGACTGGTATCAAGTTTTTAAAAGTTAATATATGCAGGGAATATGATTAGTAACTGTATATGACTTCCCCAATACAGCTGGTGTTTACAATCAAGGGGGATCACTAATTGCATATTCACAGTGTATTTGTGGTTTCTGTTGTTTGTGACATCTGTATTTGACTTCTTAATACATTCCATCTTGACCTTCAACGTAAAAATTTGTGGTTTTTTATATTTCTAAAATGCTACTATTGTGTTTAGTCCATTTTCATGGTAATATTTCACTTGCTTCTCCCTTCACCAGGATTAGCATGGTGACTATCATTTGCAGGCTTATTGTCTTCTTTTATACTATTCATACTATTCAAATAATGTGCTTCAAGGAGTTGCACTCCTTCAACCATGTACTCCATCTATGGTGATCAACATCCCATGGATTCCTTGTGCTACCCTGCAAGTTTATTTACTATGTGTTCATTAGTCTGGTCAGCAGAGTCATCCAAAGAATTTCCTATGTAGCAATAATCACCTTCTTAGGCATTCTTTGTTTGATCTCATGAAGGTTGATTTCATTGCCTAATTCCTGAACTTCAGGACTGAAAGTGACTGCTTAAAGTAATTTCTCATTCAAGTATGTTGTATATATATGTATAAGATGTGTAATTGTCTGTGATTTTATGCCTTCTAGAGGAGTAGAGCAGGAGAGGAGTTCCCATCGGGGGTGTCGAGCATCAGGAGAGACGAGGCCTTGGGCCGACCCTCTTCGTCTCAGGGTGTCCCTTTGTCGTCTCAGGCCTTCCCTGCATCCTCCTCTTCCTCCTTGAGCCACAATTCTGCCACCAGTAGGCTTTGTTCTTCCCTCGTCCATGTTATTCAGCCTTTTTTCACATGCAGCACAATGTTGTGTGGGTAGGATATTGTATGAAAAAGTCTCATTGCTGATCTAGAAGGTATTAGAATCAATTTATGAGTATATAAATAAAAAATTATATGTAATAAATCTCATTCAAAAACTCAGGAGTTATGGGACAAATTGTACATCCCTAATGCAGGAAACACAATTCGCATTCATGGTGAAGAACTTCCTGGCTTGTCGAATGAGAAGCAGAGGAGAAGCCCAGATGCCGAGCCACTGGGAGCGAAGAAGACGAGTCCAGATGCCGAGTTGCTGACGGAGATCCTCCTGGTTCTCCAGGGGGTTGAGAGCCGGCACATTCGGTGGGAGTCCCGGCGGCAGGAGTTCGTCCTTCATCGTGACTTCAAGGTCTGTTGTGCTTCCAAAAATTTATTGGAAATTCTGTCATTTGTTACACTATCTGATGTAGAGGATACATGAAATCACAAAACTTCATATCATGGTATGGCTGAGTTGAAAATGAAATTTTAATTTGGTTTTAAAAGCAAATCATACTGAAGGAACACAATATTTGGTGGAAATTTATAATATATGAGATTATTCCATCCCAATTAACAAAATGGAAAATATCTAATGGATTTATTGATTTTTTTTAGTGACCTATTCTTGAACTGTCCTTTCAAATATTTTCATCCAAAATCACTCCATAACTCTTCAGAGCTTTAGGATAGGGTTTATTCTTAGGAAGTTGGATGACTTTCTTGCCTCAACATTGTTCAATGCAATTATTGAAGGAATGTTAGTGGCATCTGGATACATGTTATCTTCTAGGGGCAAATTCCATGACATAATGCCTGTAATAATATTGCAAATTGTGGATGCTCATTTACTCTTCCTAATTGATGGGGCCCTGACTGTCTTGGTGTGTGTGGATTTGTTTCCATCAAGCAGGAGAGAGGTGTTGAAATTCAATATGCTAAGACATTTTTCTAAATGTTTGGTATGCCCTCCCTAACGTGAACACTAAGCACTAAAAATATTTATGCTAGTGTCCCTTAAGAAATGAGATTTATGCATTTATATTTAATTTGATTTTTATGTTGTGTATCCCGACAGATCCCATTACCGGCCCCAAAGCAGCACCAGTTGCTACGCCTGTGCGAGTCTGGTTGGGTGTACCAGAGGGTCAGAGGTTACTGTGACTCTCTGGGGAAGAGTGGGGGATTAGTGGGCGAGGCCCTCGTCTCTGCCTTGCGCTCTCACCTCCATAAATATCTTGGCCATCTCACTGTCCTTGATCAGCAGGTTAGGGTGAATTTGTCTAATCTTCACCACTTGACTATAAAATCATGTGGTGGAATTTTTAGTGCTTGTTATTGCTTTTATTAATTTTTTACTATTATCGATCTGAATTTGTAGGAAATGTTTTTCCTATTTGTGGGTTCATGCACTATATTTACATCACCCCTAATATTGTGATGGGTGAATAAATTATCAGGAAGGGTTGGGATTTTGATCTTTAGGAACCCTTATTATGCAGTTGCAAAGCGGGCAGCTGACACTGATGCGCCTGGTGCTGTGGATGGAGGAGCCACGGGAGGAGCTCCAATTTCTTGCTGCCGTAGCAACAAGAGCAGAGGGGCTGAAGGGTGGAGCACTTCTTTCTCTACTCTACCACTTCTCCCATCATGGCGATGTGGCTCGTCAAGCCCTTGCTCTGAGCCTTCTTGCAGAGGTGGGTCACTGTTTAACCCCAGCAATGCAGATGCTTCCATTTTCACAGTGTTTACTTGGCCCAGCTTTTGCCTGAGCTCAGCTTTCTTGCAATGAATTCATAGCTGCATTCAAGGCGTTTTTTGTAGTCAAGGTGGGAAAACAATTGGCATTGCTCAGGATTTGACTTTTTACCTTTCCTTGCCCAGCTGTAGCCACTTCATGAAAGTCCTCATAAGTCGAAGCCATCCGAGAATGTGAGAGAGGTTCTTTTGTGCGAAAAAAAAAAGTTGAGTTCTTAATTTCTCCTGGTTGCCTCAATCTACTATTATAAATGCCATCCAAATCTTGCCATACTTTTCTTCTGCTTGTCACCATCTCATATGGCATTAACTAAATTACACAGGAATCCCATTAACTTCCCTGCTAGTAAATATGCTGAAGAGGAAAATGTGAGGAATCTGATTATTTTCCATATCTTTAGCTCTTGTCATCATCTGCAGTGATTAAATTGATAAGTTGGAATCTGTATTCTGGAGCATGATTCTTGATCCTTGAGTGACAAACAGTGACTTCATAAAATTGACTGAAGGAGCATGTTGCCCTCGTCATTTGGGCACTGAGGATATCCAAAAGCAGAGAAGAACCCTTTCAACTGCTTGAGATCAATTGCCTGCATTGTTGTAAAGGTTTTGGCATCAACATCTTCTTGAACCAAATTATGCATTCTAATGGCCTGTTTAATGGTGATTGGCATTTTCTTCATTTGTGCCAGAGAAAGTTTTTGGACTTGCAGTTTTGATTCCCAAAATGAAAAAACAACATATAACAGTATTCATGTATCATGGAGAAGCTTAGTGTGCACTTTGATTTATTTTCATTCTTTGAGGCTGGGCAACCATCTGAAATTTTGCCATTGGAAGTTAATTTATTGTTTGTGCCATCCAATATGATATTTTTCAGGCTTGTCGTCCACTGCGGTTGATGCTCACCGATTGGGTCGTGAAGGGACGACTCCGGGACCCATACCAGGAGTTCTTTGTTGCAGAGGATCCATCAGTAAAACGAGAGCTCTGGTGGCAGCACAAGTACTCTCTCAGGTACTGAATTTCTATTGATTGTCTGTGGTGGATGTATGGTGTATTTGGATTGTTTTTTCTTTCTTTTTTTTGTGTCAAATTCTGATTCACCTTCCTTGGGAAGCCCTACATGTTTTTGCTTGTCATGCACAAATATTCCTCTATAAATCTTGAAAGTGTTGGTTTTATATGAATATACATGAAATTATGGAAGTCTGTTTTGAAAATTGTGCAATTCATTTCTTTTAGCCATTTTTGTAATGTGTTACTTGGTTTTTTGGAAAGAGTTTCTGTAGCCANAGGAGTTCGTCCTTCATCGTGACTTCAAGGTCTGTTGTGCTTCCAAAAATTTATTGGAAATTCTGTCATTTGTTACACTATCTGATGTAGAGGATACATGAAATCACAAAACTTCATATCATGGTATGGCTGAGTTGAAAATGAAATTTTAATTTGGTTTTAAAAGCAAATCATACTGAAGGAACACAATATTTGGTGGAAATTTATAATATATGAGATTATTCCATCCCAATTAATAAAATGGAAAATATCTAATGGATTTATTGATTTTTTTTAGTGACCTATTCTTGAACTGTCCTTTCAAATATTTTCATCCAAAATCACTCCATAACTCTTCAGAGCTTTAGGATAGGGTTTATTCTTAGGAAGTTGGATGACTGGATGGCAATGAGGCAATCCAACTGGAAGTTGGATTGCCTCAAACATTGTTCAATGCAATTATTGAAGGAATGTTAGTGGCATCTGGATAGATGTTATCTTCTAGGGGCAAATTCCATGACATAATGCCTGTAATAATATTGCATATTGTGGATGCTCATTTACTATTCCTAATTGATGGGGCCCTGACTGTCTTGGTGTGTGTGGATTTGTTTCCATCAAACAGGAGAGAGGTGTTGAAATTCAATATGCTAAGACATTTTTCTAAATGTTTGGTATGCCCTCCCTAACATGAACACTAAGCACTAAAAATATTTTTGCTGGTGTCCCTTAAGAAATTAGATTTATGCATTTATATTTAATTTGATTTTTATGTTGTGTATCCCGACAGATCCCATTACCGGCCCCAAAGCAGCACCAGTTGCTACGCCTGTGCGAGTCTGGTTGGGTGTACCAGAGGGTCAGGGGTTACTGTGACTCTCTGGGGAAAAGTGGGGGATTAGTGGGCGAGGCCCTCGTCTCTGCCTTGCGTTCTCACCTCCATAAATATCTTGGCCATCTCACTGTCCTTGATCAGCAGGTTAGGGTGAATTTGTCTAATCTTCACCACTTGACTATAAAATCATGTGGTGAAATTTTTAGTGCTTGTTATTGCTTTTATTAATTATTTACTATTATCGATCTGAATTTGTAGGAAATGTTTTTCCTATTTGTGGGTTCATGCACTATATTTACATCACCCTTAATATTGTGATGGGTGAAAAAATTTTCAGGAAGGGTTGGGATTTTGATCTTTAGGAACCCTTATTATGCAGTTGCAAAGCGGGCAGCTGACACTGATGCGCCTGGTGCTGTGGATGGAGGAGCCAAGGGAGGAGCTCCAATTTCTCGCTGCTGTAGCAACAAGAGCAGAGGGGCTGAAGGGTGGAGCACTTCTTTCTCTACTTTACCACTTCTCCCATCATGGCGATGTGGCTCGTCAAGCCCTTGCTCTGAGCCTTCTTGCAGAGGTGGGTCGCTGTTTAACTCCAGCAATGCAGATGCTTCCATTTTCACAGTGTTTACTTGGCCCAGCTTTTGCCTGAGCTCAGCTTTCTTGCAATGAATTCATAGCTGCATTCAAGGCGTTTCTTGTAGTCAGGGTGGGAAAGCAATCAGCATTGCTCAGGATTTGACTTTTTACCTTTCCTTGCCCTGCTGTAGCCACTTCATGAAAGTCCTCATAAGTCGAAGCCATCCGAGAATGTGAGAGAGGTTCTTTTGTGCGAAAAAAAAAAGTTGAGTTCTTAATTTCTCCTGGTTGCCTCAATCTATTATAAATGCCATCCAAATCTTGCCATACTTTTCTTCTGCTTGTCACCATCTCATATGGCATTAACTAAATTACACAGGAATCCCATTAACTTCCCTGCTAGTAAATATGCTGAAGAGGAAAAGGTGAGGAATCTGATTATTTTCCATATCTTTAGCTCTTGTCATCATCTGCAGTGATTAAATTGATAAGTTGAAATCTGTATTCTGGAGCACGATTCTTGATCCTTGAGTGACAAACAGTGACTTCATAAATTGACTGAAGGAGCATGTTGTCCTCATCATTTGGGCACTGAGGATATCCAAAAGCAGAGAAGAACCCTTTCAACTGCTTGAGAGCAATTGCCTGCATTGTTGTAAAGGTTTTGGCATCAACATCTTCTTGAACCAAATTATGCATTCTAATGGCCTGTTTAATGGTGATTGGCATTTTCTTCATTTGTGCCAGAGAAAGTTTTTGGACTTGCAGTTTTGATTCCCAAAATGAAAAAAACAACATATAACAGTATTCATGTATCATGGAGAAGCTTAGTGTGCACTTTGATTTATTTTCATTCTTTGAGGCTGGGCAACCATCTGAAAATTTGCCATTGGAAGTTAATTTATTGTTTGTGCCATCCAATATGATATTTTTCAGGCTTGTCGTCCACTGCGGTTGATGCTCACCGATTGGGTCGTGAAGGGACGACTCCGGGACCCGTACCAGGAGTTCTTTGTTGCAGAGGATCCATCAGTAAAACGAGAGCTCTGGTGGCAGCACAAGTACTCTCTCAGGTACTGAATTTCTATTGATTGTCTGTGGTGGATGTATGGTGTATTTGGATTGTTTTTTCTTTCTTTTTTTTGTGTCAAATTCTGATTCACCTTCCTTGGGAAGCCCTACATGTTTTTGCTTGTCATGCACAAATATTCCTCTATAAATCTTGAAAGTGTTGGTTTTATATGAATATACATGAAATTATGGAAGTCTGTTTTGAAAATTGTGCAATTCATTTCTTTTAGCCATTTTTATAATGTGTTACTTGGTTTTTTGGAAAGAGTTTCTGTAGCCATATGTAGATGGTGAATGATTGGCATGTAAGCAAATTTTTGGATTACATCAAGGTAATGGTCGTGCCTCTTTCAATGCATTTGCGTGGAATAATTAGTTTCTTATCGTTTTATTTTCTGTTCTATTTATTATTTACTCTTTTGATATTTTTTCATTTCTAGGGAAAGAATGGTACCTGAATTTATATCGAAGGACATGGCAGAGAAAGTGGTGTCTTCAGGAAAGGGGATCAATTTCCTGGCAGAGGTGTGCCATGAAATGGATCTACTCATTCGGTGTGGGGATCATGTCCATGCAAAGCTCCTCAACACCAGCTGTAGGTTCTTTCAGAAGCTAGAGGTGTAACAGTGCAATTGTTCATATGATATATTGTCTGATACTGCTGATGGTAACGGATATCGGTCTTGATAATTTAGTTCCTGATGCATGGAAGTCTTCNTGTAATAATATTGCATATTGTGGATGCTCATTTACTATTCCTAATTGATGGGGCCCTGACTGTCTTGGTGTGTGTGGATTTGTTTCCATCAAACAGGAGAGAGGTGTTGAAATTCAATATGCTAAGACATTTTTCTAAATGTTTGGTATGCCCTCCCTAACATGAACACTAAGCACTAAAAATATTTTTGCTGGTGTCCCTTAAGAAATTAGATTTATGCATTTATATTTAATTTGATTTTTATGTTGTGTATCCCGACAGATCCCATTACCGGCCCCAAAGCAGCACCAGTTGCTACGCCTGTGCGAGTCTGGTTGGGTGTACCAGAGGGTCAGGGGTTACTGTGACTCTCTGGGGAAAAGTGGGGGATTAGTGGGCGAGGCCCTCGTCTCTGCCTTGCGTTCTCACCTCCATAAATATCTTGGCCATCTCACTGTCCTTGATCAGCAGGTTAGGGTGAATTTGTCTAATCTTCACCACTTGACTATAAAATCATGTGGTGAAATTTTTAGTGCTTGTTATTGCTTTTATTAATTATTTACTATTATCGATCTGAATTTGTAGGAAATGTTTTTCCTATTTGTGGGTTCATGCACTATATTTACATCACCCTTAATATTGTGATGGGTGAAAAAATTTTCAGGAAGGGTTGGGATTTTGATCTTTAGGAACCCTTATTATGCAGTTGCAAAGCGGGCAGCTGACACTGATGCGCCTGGTGCTGTGGATGGAGGAGCCAAGGGAGGAGCTCCAATTTCTCGCTGCTGTAGCAACAAGAGCAGAGGGGCTGAAGGGTGGAGCACTTCTTTCTCTACTTTACCACTTCTCCCATCATGGCGATGTGGCTCGTCAAGCCCTTGCTCTGAGCCTTCTTGCAGAGGTGGGTCGCTGTTTAACTCCAGCAATGCAGATGCTTCCATTTTCACAGTGTTTACTTGGCCCAGCTTTTGCCTGAGCTCAGCTTTCTTGCAATGAATTCATAGCTGCATTCAAGGCGTTTCTTGTAGTCAGGGTGGGAAAGCAATCAGCATTGCTCAGGATTTGACTTTTTACCTTTCCTTGCCCTGCTGTAGCCACTTCATGAAAGTCCTCATAAGTCGAAGCCATCCGAGAATGTGAGAGAGGTTCTTTTGTGCGAAAAAAAAAAGTTGAGTTCTTAATTTCTCCTGGTTGCCTCAATCTATTATAAATGCCATCCAAATCTTGCCATACTTTTCTTCTGCTTGTCACCATCTCATATGGCATTAACTAAATTACACAGGAATCCCATTAACTTCCCTGCTAGTAAATATGCTGAAGAGGAAAAGGTGAGGAATCTGATTATTTTCCATATCTTTAGCTCTTGTCATCATCTGCAGTGATTAAATTGATAAGTTGAAATCTGTATTCTGGAGCACGATTCTTGATCCTTGAGTGACAAACAGTGACTTCATAAATTGACTGAAGGAGCATGTTGTCCTCATCATTTGGGCACTGAGGATATCCAAAAGCAGAGAAGAACCCTTTCAACTGCTTGAGAGCAATTGCCTGCATTGTTGTAAAGGTTTTGGCATCAACATCTTCTTGAACCAAATTATGCATTCTAATGGCCTGTTTAATGGTGATTGGCATTTTCTTCATTTGTGCCAGAGAAAGTTTTTGGACTTGCAGTTTTGATTCCCAAAATGAAAAAAACAACATATAACAGTATTCATGTATCATGGAGAAGCTTAGTGTGCACTTTGATTTATTTTCATTCTTTGAGGCTGGGCAACCATCTGAAAATTTGCCATTGGAAGTTAATTTATTGTTTGTGCCATCCAATATGATATTTTTCAGGCTTGTCGTCCACTGCGGTTGATGCTCACCGATTGGGTCGTGAAGGGACGACTCCGGGACCCGTACCAGGAGTTCTTTGTTGCAGAGGATCCATCAGTAAAACGAGAGCTCTGGTGGCAGCACAAGTACTCTCTCAGGTACTGAATTTCTATTGATTGTCTGTGGTGGATGTATGGTGTATTTGGATTGTTTTTTCTTTCTTTTTTTTGTGTCAAATTCTGATTCACCTTCCTTGGGAAGCCCTACATGTTTTTGCTTGTCATGCACAAATATTCCTCTATAAATCTTGAAAGTGTTGGTTTTATATGAATATACATGAAATTATGGAAGTCTGTTTTGAAAATTGTGCAATTCATTTCTTTTAGCCATTTTTGTAATGTGTTACTTGGTTTTTTGGAAAGAGTTTCTGTAGCCAAATGTAGATGGTGAATGATTGGCATGTAAGCAAATTTTTGGATTACATCAAGGTAATGGTCGTGCCTCTTTCAATGCATTTGCGTGGAATAATTAGTTTCTTATCGTTTTATTTTCTGTTCTATTTATTATTTACTCTTTTGATATTTTTTCATTTCTAGGGAAAGAATGGTACCTGAATTTATATCAAAGGACATGGCAGAGAAAGTGGTGTCTTCAGGAAAGGGGATCAATTTCCTGGCAGAGGTGTGCCACGAAATGGATCTACTCATTCGGTGTGGGGATCATGTCCATGCAAAGCTCCTCAACACCAGCTGTAGGTTCTTTCAGAAGCTAGAGGTGTAACAGTGCAATTGTTCATATGATATATTGTCTGATACTGCAGATGGTAACGGATATCGGTCTTGATAATTTAGTTCCTGATGCATGGAAGTCTTCATCTGAAGTGATACATGGTTGTTTTGGAAGCAATAATATGTTTTTATTGATGTAACTTTATTAACTTGGGTTATATTGCTTGCACTTGATACCTCTCCTCCCCCCTCCAGAACATCCAGAGGACAATTTAGCTCCATATTATCTATCTGCTTTCTACATGGTACCTTCTCTCCTCAAATTTTAAAAGCAATTTTCTTGTAAGATGGCATTCATGAATTACTCCATGCACTTGCAAATCCAGCAGGGATAAGGTTGATAGTCATCAGCATCTGCATGGTCTTTATACCCTGCTTCATCTCCACCTGCTTGGCATTTAAGGGTGAAGGCATTCCTTGCTGAACTGGCTAGACATTGTTATATGGGGGTGCATGTGTGTCGTTGGAGTGGTTTGTTAGGTGCTATAGGTGACAACTTATTTGGCTTGGTGATGCTTTTTCACTGGTGACTGTCCCATCTACTTTGATGAATTATGACCCTGCAAATTATAGGTCAAACTTTGACCTGGTGATTCAGAACCAAATCCAGACGTCACTCATTGTTTCCTGGATTGTTCCTGTCATCAATGATCTGACCCAAGTAAATATTGAATTTTGAGGATTTTTAGCAAAGCATCAATTATTCCTATTCCCAGACACAAGAAAAATAACAGAGATGCTTGC